AAAAAAAAAAAAAAAAAAGAAACAGAGCTCAGCAACAGTCTTGTCAGCTCTATTTTAAGAAAATTAGCAGTCCAGTCGGCAGCTGCACCCAGAAACCTTCCCCAGGGAGGTGCACCTTGTGTGATGTTCTCAGCATGTGGCAAGCTACACTTCCTCCTATTCAAACCCTAGCACAGCTTTTCACACTCAGAGCTCCTCTTCCACATTTGTGGTGTGGTCTCAGCACCCCACTCTATGGCCTTGATGCATTTCTAAAGGCAGTTGTTAGCCAGGAGGCTTAGGCTGTCCAAGCTACCTCTCAGAGTTAAAATGTGTGGTCTGATTACAAAGCTGCGTAGGTTTCCAGTTGTCAATACTTGAACTTATCCCGTAAGCCTTGCTAAACTTTGTGCATATTGCTGAATGCACATACAGCGACACCACAGTGCTCAACTGCTGCTCAGCCTTCACTTCAATAATCTTGCTTTTGTGAGGTGTCTGGCATTGCCCTGGCCTGGCAGGAGTGAGCAGCAATGCTGATGACCTTTCTAATTGCAGGTGCCCCAGGAGAAAGGACTACACCCAGCACTTTGGATTCAGACTCAACTTTCATACCACTGACCACCCCCTATCCCGCACTCAGCAGCTCTGCTGCCTTACCCGCACACACCTCCAGCAACCTCACCACAGATACCTCCTCAGGTTTGATGATGATCTCACGGTGTTTTAGGTTAAGGTTAATGAACAGGCGCTTGAAACTTTCAGGCACCTCGGTTATTAGCAGGTTCCCTGTTTTACAAATTTTCACATGCTGATACTATATTAGGCACAAGAAACTTTACAGAAAGCCTTTTTTTCTGGCATATTTTATTTTCTGCATTATGAAAGCTTATGACAAAGAAAAAAGGTAATTTACTTTAGTGTTATAATCCTGAATTGACCGTAGCACAAACTTCTAACTCTCTGTATCTGTTTTCCTTTTTGAAAAATGGATATAATTTCATAAGATTGCTGTGAGGACTGAGTAAGTAAAATGTCTGATAAGCAATGAATATTACAAAAGAGCAACCCGGAATTCTTAGAAAATTAATGAGAATTGTCATTGAAAGGGAAGAAATAGTTTGAGGAAGATTGTGAGTCTGGTAAGAATGATCTGAAGTCACTTCTCAACTATACAATGCTTGATATAAAGATTCTTTCAACCACTAGTTGCCTAAACAAGCCATTTGTGTATAACTCTTTGGGTCATTTTCTTATTTTAAAGCAAATATGTGGCAGTTCAGACCAAAACTCCTACAGATTCAGTTAGGATTATTTTTGTTAAGAGTTTTTCCTTCACTCTTCAATATGACCATCTTGTTAACTTTTATTCTTCTGTTCATTTCCTTGCAGATAAGTCCATTGCATCATCCACTCAGACCTCTCCAGCAAGCATTCTCCCTACAAACGCTTCCACAACCATAGGTGACAACCTTACCCCCATTCATGCAACCATACCACCCCCACATACCTACAATGTGTTGTTGAGAGCAGTTTCTCATTCAGGATTTACTATATGTGCAAAGAGCTTACAAAAGTTAGAGAATGAAGCTACCCTGTCCTATTTCCTTGCTTAAACAAAAGTGTAAAGTGAACTCTCTGAGAGTTATATTTCACGGGACCAAAGACCTTTAGCATGTTTGAATATTCAACTTGAAAGGTCTTAGTGTCATTCTTATCACAATATTTTTTTGAGTAAATTAATCTTCCTGTCTCTCTTCCGCCCTCTCTCTGTCTTGCCAGGGTTTGTCTCAAACAGTTTTTATAGAACTGCCTCATTAGTTTATAATATTTGAAGTTTTGTAGTCAAAGTACAATACTAGGAACTTCAAAACCCAAATTGACTGGATAGACTGGATAAGCTACAACTGGATAGACTACAAAATTGGAACTTTATAAACCACTTTCTCCTGAAATTGTCATAGAAGAAATGTTCCAAAATGAAATTTTAATATGTGTCCTTTTTCCCTTTAACAGCTACAACTCCAGTGCAGTCCTGTGGTAAGTTCATGCACCGAGGAGCAGCGTATATCATTTTAGAAGAGCATGTTAATTATTTCCTGCATTTTAAGCTTCCAGGAACCACTAGAAAGCTTAACTCACTGACTCTAATTTTTCACCAATGATTAGCTCCAAATCTTAAATGCCAGTGTTCTTCAGGGTCAGGAAGCTTTGATGTCATATTCAGAGCTAGTTTTGAGAATCAGCATTAATAACTATTACCTAGCAAACTTGGTGAAGCCATTTAACTTCAATTAAGTATTTGTAAAATGTAGTGATGGTAAGTTTATTTTGGGTAGGTAAGGACTCAGTGTATGATAAACATGTAAGATAGGTAAGCCCTTTAAGTCTCATCAGGAAGAAATTAATCTTCCTGTCTCTCTTCCGCCCTCTCTCTGTCTTGCCAGGGTTTGTCTCAAAGCAGATGCTGGAGACCAGTCCCATTTTCTTCCTCTCTTCTCTGTGGAACAGAGTCCTCTCCCTCCTTCTCTCCCCTAGTTTCTGAAACTTAACACCAAATCTCCTTACTTCAGTAGCTTTCTGGACATTGAGTATAAAGATAAGGTCCCATGAGCTTATCATTAGGCTCTTCTAGCATTCTGGCCTGCTAACACTCTTCATTTGAGTAAAATGAAACTACTTACCGCCTTTTAAACACATTGCATTTCACTTTACCTCAGTATTTACTCCTGTTCTTCCTTTAACTTGCAATCCCCATCTATTTTTATCTAGTACACCTCTTGCCCACCACTAAGTTTGGCTCATATTTTCAAACATAAGTAAAGTCACCTCTTCTCAAAAACTTCTCCTGTTCTAATCTAAGTAATTGGTCTCTCTTTACTTCCATTTTATTTTGTGTAGAAATGTCTTTTAGGAGTTCACATGCCTTCTACAATTTATGTCTGTATACCTCCACTTGACTACAGGTCGATCATTTGTATTTTTACAAGTGCTTTAGAAAGTGTACTAAACATTATGAGGGCTGAGTAATTCTCATTGCATTAAAATGCTTTAATAATATTTGGTAAAAATTCAGAATTATTTGCTAATCTGATTGCATTAAAATGCTTTAATAATATTTGGTAAAAATTCAGAATTATTTGCTAATCTGATTGCATTAAAATGCTTCAATAATATTTGTTGAAAAGATACTTTTTTTTTTTAAGATCAGTCAATAGAGTTCATTTAATTGAGGTGAGAGTATGAAATGACCTGAAGGAATGGTGCTTAGGAGGGTTCGTTATCAATTATTTTACAAAAGTAAAGGAAACATGAGACTGCGGTCTCTAAATAATTAACTTTTGACATATATTTGGAGAAACAGATAATCAAATATTATTGCATTATATGGAGATTTACTTATTCAAAAAAAAACATTTTAGCAGTAAGGGGAATTATAAAGCAACAAGAATTTTGTTAGATTCAACATTCATCGGTAGACTGAAACAACAAGCAATTAAGTTACCCCTAATAATAACAGATGCTATACAAGGGTCTGCTTTTATGGTGATGATCAAAATAGACTGAACTTTGCTGTAATAGAATTATAGTCCAACTCAGAATACAGATTTGCAAGCTGAGGCTCTTGACAATGAATGATGTAAAGGGGAATAAGAAAAAATAATAAGGAGGCAACTGGTGTGTTTCTTATCATTTTCATGTTCTGACAAATGTTTTCTTAATGATTTGGTATTTTCATAAAAATCAAATATTATTGCATTATATGGAGATTTACTTGTTCTGAACAATAAAAGATAATCCTTACTGTTGTATCTTCTTTCAGAAGAAAATATCTCTGTGAGCTACACTTACAACAATGAAAGTAAATTTTTTACTGCAAAAGTAACCGTTAATAAAGATACATGTAGGTGTGACGATCAAATAATCGGTAACCTAACAGCATGCCAGGATTTCAGTGTAGATTTTACTTCATGCAATATTTCATCTAAGATCTACTGGACACCCTCAGGTCAGTAGGAATTGATTTCCATTACGTGTGTTCACAAAAGCAATGTAATGTTGAATACGGTGCCTTTCAGTCATAGGACTCAGTCTATCGAGTGAATAAAGCTGAGGAAAGAAAATTAGCCACTTCAGGAGTTGGTGACCGATTTCCCTAACCTGAGAAAATTAAAAACTCATATAACCTTGGTGACTAATTACCTCCCTTCATTTTTTTTGAAGTGGCTCATGTAGATTAGAGCTCATTTATTCCACTGAGAATTGCTTGAATCTCTCACTTTGTTTAATAACATTGATGTGTTAATATTTAAACAGGTTAAAAGTTGATGTTTTAAAAAATATTATCTATTCATTTTCTCTAAATATTGTTGAAATAAGCGATCCATTAAAAACAAAAGATGGGAGGCGGCAGTGATGAAGAAGAGTGCAGGATCTGAGTTTTTCACGGGCCTGGAGGTTTGGGGTACAGAGATGTCAGAGAAACAGCAGCCAGTAGACTTGGGTCTCTCAGAGGAGGACAACACATTTGAGGAGTCCTGCAGAAGACTGGGCTGGTGTAGATGAAGATGAAGATGCACATGTCTAGGAGGATAACTGGGGTGACGACAATGTAGATGACTTTTCCAATCAGTTATGAGCTGAACTAGAGTAACATGGTTATAAGATAGCGACCTTAGAGCATCCAGAAATCAATCTAAACTTGACCTGTTTACTAAATTCTAGGATGGAACACTTAAAAAATTACATGTTTATTTCATTACCTGTTTAAATTTATTTTTGTTTTTGGAACATTAAAAACAAATGTTTTCATTAAAAAAAAAGATGATAATGAATTTTCAAAACACATTCTCAAGAGGGAATATCAAGAACCCTTGTCTGGTTCTTGTTTTAATAATTATTCAGTAAATAATGAAGGAGAAAATGAAAACCACTAAAGATGCAAATAAAAAAATGAACTGAGTGTTTAAAAATGTGCAAAATTTATAATTGTATCTAAATGTTTGCTACGTTTTCATTTTTTAGAAAGTAACAAATTCTAAGTGAAAAGCTGCCAAATATGTGACGAAAAGCTGCCAAATGTGTCACGTGACAAAAAGAGTAAACTAAATAATGAAGAAATAAACCTTAAGTTATTACACTTTTTCAAATGTAATCTAAATGCTTACCAAGGAATATAGAATTGTGTATAATTTCAGTGACTATTACTGAGCTTATGGCACACATGAAATATTAATATTGTCTATTTCTGTATCTTCTTGACAGCATTTGAATTTAAAGATATCACAAAGGATGTAACAGCAAATACTTCTGTTCTTTTAATTTGGAATTCAATTAATGGTTGTGAAGAAAATATTACTTACAGTTTTCAATGTGGTAAGAATATGGCATTGATTCAAGAATTTTTGTCATAGGAAATTGTTTTAGATATTACTTACTGTTTTCATCTTTTTCTTCTCCCACCTTTTCTACCTTTCTTTCTTCCTTCCATTTCTCCGCCCCTCCCCTCCCCTCCCCTCCTCTCCTCTCTCTTCCCCTCCTCTACCCTCCCCTCCCCTCCTTTCTCCTCTCCTCTCCTCTTCTCTGTCCCTCTTTTGTATGTCTCATTTATTTTGTAGTATGTTTGGACTCAAATCATTGTATTTTCTATAGCACTCAAATTCACAAATTAGATAGATTTTTCCCCCTTAAAATGTGGTAAAGATCAATTCATTTACAAGGCTTCTCTTGACAGCTGTTATTCACAAGCCATTATTAAAGAGAATATCAACAGATGGTGTATAAAAAATTACATTGCACATATTTTTATAATGAAGGAAAAGCAAGCATAAGATCATTTGATTCAAAAGTTTACTTGTTAGCCCTCCATCAATAAAACTTATAAACATCTCCAAGAACACTTAGATGAAAGGGAAGTGGGAAAGAACTGTAACTGCTTCTAGAACTATGATTTTAGGTTCACTTTTGATGGGAAATAAATGAGGTAGATTAATTAAAATTAATTTATTGAGATAAAATCTCCTTCACTTGTCCCGAATTAACCTGCTGGGTCATATTTGGCAAATAAACACACACAGAGGATGGTGTGTGACATTTTTGTAATCATGTTACAAGAAAATCATGGCTATGATTTATGCAGTGAGAACACATAGCAAGCTGATAAGAAAACTATGTTGAATCTGAAATATCTATTATCTCAGATGCAATCTCGATTTCTGAACAGAAAACAATGAACTAATGCCTCGTCCCATCAGTTTAGTCAGAGACCACTTCAAATTCCCTTACATGTCCTAATATTTTGTTTAAAATTAAGTGCTTCAAAATAATGTGCTATTGTAGGTGTTTTCAGGATATTTTACTTATTATTTTGACTATTTGCATACATTTTCAACTATCGATATTATATAATTATAGATACAAAATACAAAAAGAAAGTAAAATATGGTATATTAATGTACTTATATGTGGTACTTATTTCTTTCAGCTAATACATCTAAAACATCTGAGGAAAGTGTATTTTCATTGGGAAACCTTCAACCGGAAACTAACTATAGTTGTGTTTCACAAGTACTTTATAATCATCTGCCACTTTTTAAAACAAATCATACCTTTTTAACAGATATTGGAAGTGAGTATTTTATTTATACATATATGTATTATAGTCTTATGAATTTTTGAAAATCAGAAAATGATGCTATAGATATGGAGAAAGGGCTTCAGAAAATGAATTTGTAAGACTTTTTAAGGTGGAATTTAGCAATAAAAAAGAGAGCATCCGAACTTCCATCAAATCTTTTCTGTTTGCTTGCTTTATAAGTTATGGGCTGCAATGAGGTTGTAGCAGAAACAAGCTGTGAGGTAAGTAAAACATTTTGTGCATTCATTCCCAATTTCATTTTGCCATCCTTCCTGCAGGATCATTCCCTCTGGGTGTGCTCCAGATCCTGCCATTGGTAGGGGTAGAGTGAGCACATAAACTAATAAAACAGTAGCAGGCCCCTTCACATTGGCACAAAGGGCTAAGGGGCAGTGCAGTGAGACTGTCCGTAGCCACATCAGTGTGAGTTCAAGCCCCAGGCAGGGAGCTGACAGGCATGGTGTGGCAGACCTCTCCTGTCTCTCACACTGCTTCTGTCAGCAGTGTATTTTGGTCAATCCGCTGTTCTGTTCCCCACTCTGTCTCTGGTGAATCCTCTCACCACCATCCTCCCCCCCACCCCACCGCACCTCTGGCCTCCACCCAGGTTCTTTTATGCATAAATAAATAAAAATCTTTAAAAAATAAAAACAGTGGCAGATCAGAGAATGAAAAATGCATAAAACCACCAAAGATATACAGATGGCAAATAGACTTATAAAAAAAGGATGTTCCAAGTCATATGTTACTAGAAAAATTCAAATAAAATAAAATAAAAAACCTACCGTGAGTTACTGCTACACAGCTATTAGAATGGCCAGGAGCTGGAGCATTGACAACAGATGCTGGTGAGGTTGTAGATCAACTGGATTTTTCATTTATTCCTGACAGGAATGAAAAATGGTACAGTCACTTTGGAAGCCATTTGGACAGTTTCTACACAATTAAATGTAACCTTCCAAATAATCTCACCATCACACTATTTGGTGCTTACTTAATGGAACTGAACATATATTGACACAACAACTAACACATGAAACTTTATAGCAAATTTACTCATAATTGGAAAGCAATTGCTTAGAAAAAACAAAGATGTCCTTTAGAATAAGTAAACTGTGGTAAAACCAAGAAGGAAATACTAATCAGCACTACCAAGAAGTGAGTTTTCAAGTTATGAAAAGACATGAAGGAGCCTTAAATACATTTCACTGAGTGAAAAAAAAAAAAGGCCAATCTTGAAAGACTCCTTATGTCTCACCCTAGCTCTAACACTTTCTGGAAAAGGCAAAACCACGCTTGAGAGTAAAAATACCCAGATCGTCAGTGTTTGGAGGGAGAGGGAAAGAATTTAGGGCAGTGAAAATATTCTATATGATCTCATAATGATGAATATGAATCATAAAACACATTTAGCCAACCCAAAGAATGTACAATACTTAGAGTAAAGTCCCATGTAAACTATAGGCTGTGGGTGGAAATGATTTGCCAATGCAGGTTCATCAGTAACAAACGTATGAGCTCAGAGAGGAGGTGATGGTAATGGAGGCTCTTTATGTGGGGACAGTGAACCTCAAAACACTGTAAAATTAGGGTATTTTAAAAATTATCAAGCAAGATTTATCACAGTCATACAGGAACCCCTCAATCTTAGAAAATAGCAGTTTACTCAGTTTACATATTGTTTCATTCTGAGAAGAGGTATTTTTGTAGAATCATTGCAAGGAAGCCCTATTTTTTTTTTTTTAAGACTTATTTATTTGTGCTTACAGAACTGCGGTACAGGCCATAGGTGTGGTGTTTGAGAGGATTCACCAGAGACAGAGTGGGGAGCAGAGTACACTGCAGAGGGGAGCAGCGGGCGGGAAAGAAGAGGTCTGCCGCGCCATGTGGGTCAGCTCCCTGGCCGGGGATCAAACTGGTGCTGTAGTGGCTTTGGAGAGAGAAACCCTATTCTTAAAGAAAACTTTGTTAATTGACCTATTGTCTGACTCACCCATTTAACATGTTTAATAATTCAATGGTGGTTATACATCCATTACAAGAATCAATTTTCAGAACATTGTTATCTCAGCACAGAGAAAGCCCATATTTGTTGATGTCTCTGACTGTTTACCTCTACCTCACCATAGCAGTCACCAATCTGCTGTCTTACTTTGTTGGGTTTGCCAATTCAGGACATTTTATATAAATGAAATCATATGTTTTATTTTGTGACTTGCTGCTTTCACTCAGCATGATGTTTTCTTGTGTATCAGTATATCAGTTTTTTAAATTGTCTGATTTTCCATAATGTAGATATAATTTATTTTGTTTGTCTCTTCATCCTTTGAGTGATACTTAAAATTATTTTCACCAGCTCACTGTTGTGAAAGTGTTATGACCAGGCTTGCACAAGATTTTATATAAACACATGTTTTCATTTCTGGTGCTTGGAATTTTGGGGTCATATGCTATGTCATATTTTGCATGCCATTCCACTTTCCAAAATGACTTTCATCTTTCTTCCCTGCCAGCAATGAATGAGGTTTCTAATTTCCACACATCTTCAACAACATTCCTTACTGCCTATCCTTTTTACTCCAGCCATCCCAGTGGTATTTCTTTGTGGTTGGGGTTAATGACAAATTGTTTAATGGCACATTTGCACATTGTTTTATCTATTCAAATTATTCCCCCCAATTTATTTTTATTTATTTTTCCCCACTTCTCATTATTTTGTAATCGAAGTAACACTGGTTTACAGCACTGACTATGATTCAGAGGTAAACATAATTCAGAGTATGTTAAATGAATGACAAGACAAATTTACTCTGTAGTAACAAAACAGTAAACAAGGTGTCAACAGTGGGCAGAAGGATTGGGTTTGCTGGGAAGAGGAACAGAAGGGCTTCTGGGGCATGATAGAAATGTCCTGTAACTTGCGTGTGGTTTTCATACTGTAATGCATACATTTGTCAAAAACTCATCAAAGTATAATTCAAATGAACATCTCAATATTGATGTATAAGCCATAAAATTAAGCAATTAGGTATTTATTATTTTCATCTCAACTTTTGAAGACTGGTTTCTTGAAGCAATGAAGTGTCACTCAAAAAAATGACCATTAGATTTATGAGTGCTACCAATGACAGATTTTCAGCATAGAGCACCCCCAAGATAACTGTATTGTAACATATTGGAGATGGAGAGGGGAGTGGCATGCTTAGGTTCTACAGTGCCACTCTGGAAGGCCATAAGTCCAGATGTGATTCCTCTAATTTCATTTTAAATTTATAATTAATCGTTCATAAGTAATTATAATTAATCAAAATATGGTTATTAATTATGTATGCTTATAACATGAATACTGTTTTTTCCATTTCTTATTTTTTAAACATTTTTCTTATTCTTTTAACAGCTCCCAAGAAACCTACGTCTTTTTCTTGTGAAGCTGAAAATGCAACGGCAGGAATTTTTACCTGGGCACATCCTCGAAACACTATGCTTAATTTTTGTCTTTCTACTAGCTTTAAGTCAGGTAGCTTTCATAAAATATGATTGCAAATCAGAAAAGAAAAATCAAGAAGTGGAAAAATTAGAAATGTGTGTTGAGCTAGTGAGTCAGGGACCTTTCTACATAGTGACTGTGATGGGCATTTGATTTTAGAATCAAAGTATGGACACTTCAGACCCTAGATGGCTACAGACCAGAACATCTCCAATATTTTCTTGTCTTCAGTGGTCTGTTTTTGTTTGAACAGGCTTGAAGGTTTACATTCCAAGCCTGGAGAAGGAAAATCTCTTTAAAAAAATTACTCATTACTCCATCCGTGTATTGTGTGAGTGAATTGCACTGGTTTGAAGCCATCATTCTGACCCATAAGCATACAGCTTCCAAAATTTGCTGTAATTGATACATGCAAAACATTGGATAAATGAAAACAGTATATAGCATTTAG